CTGAACTAATAATATTATATTCTTTGTACTTCAATTTGCTTCTAAAGTTTTCACGTAACGATATTTTTAAATTTAAAATAAAGTCCACTTTCGGATTTGTGAGGGCAGCCCTAATGTGCCTACTACTGTATGTATGTATGCATATGTGCGCCGTGAGTTTTTTATTTTGTCGAATGAGCGTAAGTGTAAAGCCTGTACAAATGCACAGACATACATATGTTTGCTTCGGTTGTTGCGGTAAATGCAATCAGTGGTGCCGCGCCGTCTCAAGAAAACGTATCCCTGACCAAGCCAAAAATGTATCCAAATGTATCCAATTTTCTTTTTTTACATGTACATCTCATAACTTGTAAGAAAACCAAACATTTTTATGAAAAATACATAATTTAACCCATTCTAAGGACTTGGAATACATGTGCATAAAATCAAACATTTGTAATTTCAATTTATAAAGTAAATTTTTTGTGCATAAGTATTTTGCAGAGTAAATATAATAAATAGCAAGTACACTCTAAAAAGAGCACGTAAAACTACTACTGAAAAGTATCTATTTTTCAACAAGAATCTATATATTAATACGCTAACATAAATTTTGTCTCCGTTGGAAAGGCATTTTTCCGTAGATGAGCGGAATTTTTATGGTTTCACAATTGGTTGAAAATTACGGCCAAAACCGTTGTTTAAACATTTTCGAAATGTGTATAGATGTTGCTGCAACATGTTCAATTTGACATGTTTCGCCTGTTGTTTCACTACACATTTGAAATTAAGCTTTGAAATAAAGATAAATATGAAGATTAAGAAATAAATGAGAACGATGAAGTAAAAAAAAGGGCAAAAGTGAAGATAAAGACGGAAATGGAGACAATGACAGATACGTAAGAATCAGGGTAACTAAAAGGGTAAGATCATTTCTTGAATTTATGAAGTAAACTTCTTTAGCGGCAGTTGGTTGATTGGGAGTAAATTGTCAAATTCAAGGGGAATAATTCACATGGAAGTGGTTCCCAGCGGTTTAACGGTTTGAGAATAAAAACAAAAACAAAGATGCCTAGAGGTACAGGCAAAAACGAAGATCAAAGCAAATTTAAACACTTTAAGGTAAAAGTGAAGAGGAATATGCAAAAATAAAGATAAATATGAAGAAAAGGATGAGGATGAAGATCGATATTGTTATCGATATAAAACCCGATATTTTTATCGATATAATAATCGACATTGCTATCGATAAAATAATCGATGTTGTTATCGATACTGTTATTGATTAACAGCTATTGTAATCGATATAATAATCAATATAATAATATATATTGTTATCGATACAATAATGGATATTGTTATCGGTATAATAATCGATTAAATAATTGATTTATATTGTTATCGATATGTACAATAATCGATACTGATGATTGTTATATTTATCGATGAATTAATCGATTTTGCAATCGTATTTTTCTATATGTTTATGGATATTGTTATCGGTATTTTTATCGGCACAGTTATCAACAGGGTTATCCATATAATAATCAGAACATGGAATGTGATCACATTAAATGACATCACATTATATCACATGATATGAAGAGACATCACATGACATTACATCACATAATATGATATCACATCATACGATATCACGTGACATGATATCATACGATATGACATCACATTATATGACATGACATCACATGACTTGAGATCATATGATATATCATCGTATGATATGACATGGCATTACATGACATTACATTACATTCTGTAGATGAGGATAGTTTTTATAGTTTCGAAATTGGTTGAAAATCGTCGTTTAAAAATTTCCATATTTGTGTATGGTTGTTTTTGCAACCTGTTCAATTTAAGCTGTTTCGCATTTTGTTTTACTTCGTGTTTGAAACTCAACTTTGAAATAAAGATAAATATGAAGATGAAGAAACAAGTGATAACGATGAAGACAAAAAAAAGGCAAAAGTGAAGATAAAGACGAAAATTGAGATAAAGGCGAAAATGGAGACAATGAGAAATACATAAGAATTAGGTTAAAAGATAGCAATCGAAATAAAATCAGCCATAAAGGTTACTGAATTTATCGAATCATCGAAGTTTATAATTATCGAAATTTATCCATGCTTATTGAGTTATCGCAACGTATCGAATTATTCAAACTGATCAATGTTTACTGAGTTGTCGAAATTTATAGACACAGAAACTTAGTTGCCCAAATTTACGGATAGTTATCGAGCTATAAAAACGTGTGGGATTAACGAAATTTGTCAAGTTAAAGAAATGTATCAAGTTATCGATATTTATTGAATTATCATTATTTATAGACTTAACAAAATATATCGAGGAGTCGTAATGCATGGAGTTCTTTCAACTTACAGAGTTATCGATAATTATTGATCTAATGAAATTGGTTGGTTCAACAAAGTAAAATTTATGGAATTTACAAAATTTATCGATTTATCGAAATTTCAAGGTTATATAAGCTTATTGATTTATCACTGCTTATCGAATTTAATCGTCTTAACAGAGTGTAACGAGTTATCAAAATGTTTAGATAATTTTCGAGAAATGTGGAGATGTCATAAGTAAAAATTTATAAAGGTATCCAAAGCTATTACATTTTTGAGTTATCGAAATTTATCGAGCCATCGAATTTCACAGTTATCGAAATTGGTCGAGTTAACGAATTTTGTTGAGTTATCGAATTTTAGTGTTCTTGAAATTCATCGAACTATCGATATGTGTCAAATCATCGAAATTCATCGATAAACTTGAATGTATCGGGTCAGTTCCAAGTCCTGCCGAAGTCCTCCAAAGACCTTCTCAGATAAAAAAAAACATTAGTTACGTTTTAGCAAAAGAATTTCCGATTAGTTAAATTGTACCGTATAAGTATCGCTACGTGTTAAGTTAGAAAACCTCTCCACGGCTTCTAAAACTAGAAAAACTGTCGAATTTCGACAGTAACTGGAACTCCAGTCTGTATAAATATACGTATAGGATGTTCAGTATTTGACTTTGAACTTGAGATCTTTAAAATATACACATAAATACACATATGTAGAATGTTTAAAATTGCAAAAATTTTCAAACTACAAATACATTTCCTACTAATAATAAACATTACTTCATTTTAAACATTTTGTGTAAAAATAAACAGGCAATGATTAATTTTATTACACGGCTTGCACATTTGCATACATTAAAAGAGGAAACCGGTTACCTCTCTCAATATGCGCAAATAAACAAAATTTTTTAGAGTGTATTTAAAGTCTTTTCAGTAAAATTCATAAAAGTTTCCTTAAATAAATCAAATTTAGTTTTTTAAACTACATTGAAATCTTCTTTCTTTTTAAATTAACAAATGAAAATATGTGATATGAAAGAGATTACTACAGAAAGAGTATAATTTACTCTACATATATCGTCGTTTAAAGTACAAAACCGCGTATCGTCATTCTGCAAAACCGCGTAACTGACATTTGCTGCCAAAAATTGGATTTGCTCACACAAGCTCTTGGCTTCGTCCTGAAATATACTAGCCAGAAATGCGATTGCTTTATAAAAAAGAGAACCATTTTGAAATATAAGTGTTTTTACTCTCTAGAAAATAATTTATGCCGCCACATACGCAGTTTTGCATTATCTTGATACGCGGTTTTGCATTTTGTTGCGGTTTTGTACTTTAAACGACGATATGTATGTATATTAAGATCTTGCTTAAAGCATCCTTTTAAGCTAATTAAAGCAATTGTGCTTATACCTATTTTGGTGAGATCTCTTCATATATTCATTGCTTCGTCCACAAAAAATAAAATGCTTTAATTTCACGCTTAGGTAGCGATTCTTTATACGTTTACGTCTTTAATGAAAATCGATTTTTGAACGAAAAAAACTTTATAGGAAATATAAAATTTTGGCCTATTTAAAAAAGTATCCACTTTTATACTGACCGAAAAAAATAAGTATCCCGCAAAAATTCGTCTAAAAATGTATCCAATTGGATCTATTTAGATCCAAACGGCATCCCTGAATGCAATATGTTTTTCACTCAAATATGCATATATGTATGTATTTACATAGAAATTTGTTTTTTATTTTATTGCCTCCAATTTGTCTATATGTATGATATTATGTATTATTTTTGGCGCGTAAATTATTAATATGTGTACATACATACACAGTATATAGTATATACATATGTATAGTAGTAGTAGTAGTACAGTCAACTTTATGTATGTTTCGTAGGTGTGCGAATGCCGGGGTATTGAAAAAAAGGCGGGAAATTTTGGAAAAGTATATAATATGTACAAATTGGTGCGATTTTTTGCAACCGTTCCTTTATATATGTAAATATGAATTTGCACAAGAATTTAAGACGGTCGGTTTTTCGCATGCAAGTTGTTTTACATACATATGTACGAGTGTGTGTCGTAGGGATGTCAGTACTTAAGTTTTTTATCGCAAATATTTTGAAGTAAAATTTTTCTTTACTTACTGCGACCTTTTATTATATTTATTAAAATCACCGTTTAATTTTTGGGCTATAATGGGAGGTTTCAACCGGGTGAAAACTGGATTCACAACTCCTGCTGTGGGGACGGGTTTGATAGGTTCCTCCTTCTAAATCCAACGCCTTGACTCCTCTATGTGATTCAGCTCGCTTTTATTGAGGTCGCTCGTACATATGTATGTATATTAATTCATATGTAGGAGAATTATAGTTTTTCCGTGTTTTTTATTAACACACACCTTAAATTGTGTTTTGTTTTCTTTTTTTTCCAAAGCGCAAATTTTTTGATTAGGTTAGAATTACAACGTTGTTATTTGATAGTTTTAAGGTTTTAAAGTTTTTTCAGATTTAAATTGTTTGTTTCCGATATTATACACACACACG